GACGTGAACAAACGCCAGGAAACTCTGCACTCTATATGTGTGCATAAAGTGTGACGAGTGCGAGCTTACTGTCTACGGATAGTAGCGATAGTACGGATCGTTTCTCGCGACTCGCGACAAAGTCGCCGTGGATCGACCTCGTTTTCTCAGAATCTTTCCGACGCCTCGTTTCCCGCGCGCCGACCTTTAACTGGCCCTGAAGTCGAGTCGAGCCGAATTCCTCCGAATATTCTCGTCGCATGTTCTCCGAGGACACAGTGTACACAGTATTCTCGTTGATTCTCATGTGATTTGAGTTGGTCGACAAAAAGAAGAAGAACGGAGACGCGGACGACGCGGACAAAGACGAGAGGTGCGAGATGCACCGGCGTTAATCGACGGAAAGGTCGCGTCTTGGGTCGGTCGATGAGACGGCCGAACGACGAGAAAGGGTAGCAGAATCAGGTCGGTATGCAGAACGACGATAACGAAAAGACGCACACCGCCACGAATCGCGACGATGAGGCGTCGAATAGCGACGGCGCCGCCGAGGAAGCCGTCGGAGATCGCGATGATGAGGTGCCGAGTCGACATAACGGCGCTGAGGAGACCTCCGTGGATCACGAGAGTGACGACCCGAATCGAGGCGAGGATAACGTCAGAACGTCGGAACCCAGCGTTGACGACGAAGACCCGAATCGCGACACCGAACAAACCGCTGACGTTACCAGCGCGGATCGCGATGATAGGGATCGCAAGGATACGCGGAAATCCGTGTCGAAGAAGGGAGATTGTGTTTGGACCATGTATCTCCCATCCACCTCGGGGAAGGAGATGCTGGCCGTTTCAAACAATAATTACGGCTGCGAACATTACAAGCGAAAATCCAAATTCGTGGTAAGTTCGAGGATGATTTGATGTTTTCTAACATCTTCAAGTAGAGATCATCAGTGTTTATTTATAAAATCTCATAATTTAGCTCTTGTTAAATGTTCAAGAAATAGTCTTATATTGAATTTTACTCGCACTATCTTGGATTAGTACACCTTTAAAAAAGGCACTTTATATAAAATATCTAAATGCTGTGTTATAATATGTATAATCAACTTTGACAATAAAATATAATACATGTATATTCTGTTAAATCATGTAATAATATCATTATTGGATGTCTAATTGTTTAAAATATTTACATGCTCTTATATCTAACTTTGCGAAAAATCTAATAATTTAGATTGTTAAATGTTCAAGAAATAGTCTTAATGGTAAATTTGTATCACTTGCATTATAATAGATTATATATTAAAAAGGCTGCTCTATATAAAGTATCTAAATATAGTGGCATAATAATAATCAACTTTACAATGAAATAATATATGTATATATATGTGTTAAATAATGTAATCAATATTATTATTGAGAATTCGTTTAAAATATTTATATAAACTTTTGTATTTAACTCTACTAATTTTATAACGTTTAAAAGACATTTTAGTATGCACTAATCTAATGTAATGCAAGTGACCGAATTTGTTATTAAAAAGTTTAAAATTGGTTTTTATTGTAAAATAAGATATAGAGCATTTTACCATAGTTTTTAAGAAAAGAATATTCTAATTTAAATGTCACTTAAATAGAATTCAAATGTGTCGAATAATGTCTATTTTGATTTATGACTATTAACGACTAATCTTGAGAATCTTATCTTTTTATTTCCTTTTATATATATAAATTCTTATATAAATGATGAATGTAATAATAATAAAAAAATGTATATTTTGTTTCTTAATGAATTAATTTTCTTTCCATATTTAATCTATTACAGACTCCATGCTGCAATAAGGTATATACCTGTCGATTTTGTCACGATGAGCAGGAGGCACACACAGTGAATAGAAAAGAAGTTACAGAATTAATATGCGTTCTTTGCGATACTCGTCAACCTGTTCAAGCTACTTGTCAGAATTGTCATTGTCAATTTGGCAAATACACATGCTTAGAATGCAATCTTTTTGATGACGAGGATAAGAATCAGTATCATTGCGATGGATGCGGAATATGTAGAGTCGGTGGTCGTGACAAATTCTTTCACTGTGCTAAATGCAACATGTGCTTGCCCATCCAGTTACAAAACGGGCATACGGTAAGAATATATATAACGCCAAATGCATGTTTGCATGACAAAAGTATTGTATATGTTCTATTCAAAACACGCAGAACAATAATTGAACGCTATTATTCATATTATATGCATATTATTTGCAGTTATTATATAAATATTAAATAAATTTTGTTTTGCAGTGCATAGAAAATGTATCACATTCCAATTGTCCCGTGTGTCTGGAAGACATTCATACGAGTCGCATACCATGTCACATTCCTGATTGTGGACACCTGCTTCACCGTATGTGTTTTGAGGAATTATTGAACTCGGGACATTACGCTTGCCCGTCCTGTCAGGTGTCACTCTTAGATATGACGGATTTGTGGAAATATCTGGACGCAGAAGTGTCGCTGACACCAATGCCGGAGGAATATAACGACTGTAAAACCGATATCTTATGTAAAGACTGCCACGAGGTCAAATCTACTTCTTCATACATATATCCCAAATGCTGAGGCGTGGAAAATAATTAAGAGATATTAATGGCAAGATACCTGTTATTTCAGGAATCTACGGTAAAGTTTCACATCGTCGGATTGAAGTGCTTAAACTGTGGTAGCTACAATACCTGTAGGATAAAAGGTTCCCCTTGTTCAGGTGACGATCAATTGCTAATTGATTATTTTACATCCGTGGACGATTATGTGAATTTTCAATAATTTTACACAGATCCCGATGCTCTGAACGAAGCAGCTGGTATTACAGAAGAGAAAGAGGGATCGTAAAACCAAAGTTCGGAATATTATCCGAAATTATCCAACGATCGTGGAAGGAATATACTATAGTAGTAATGATAGGAGAGTATTTGTATTTTAGAATTTTATCTTTATTTCATCTTTTTTGTAGCAAATTGCACTTTTTTGCCTTTGTAGTAATTTTCGATCGAAAATAGTATTTTTTTGTTTAACCGAAGTTAATATAGTAAAAATTAAATATCTGTTAAATGTATGTGACCACTAATATTATCAAAACTAATGCATAATATGCTTTCGATGAATGATTTTATGACACGCTGTAGCACAATCACAGAGGTTTAGTATAATTTTGTTATAACATAATTATATTAACAAAAATATTTCTACAAATAGCTTATTTATTAAATTACAACATCAATTGTTGGAAATAACAGTTGATGAAACGATCAACATGAGAATATTTTGCAGATAATCCATTTTTGCGTACACATTTTTATGTACGCAAGATGTCGATTTTTTATATTTGTATTGTTTTTATCTTATATAGACAGGATATTCCAGAATTATCGCGCAATATTTCAGGTATATTTGATAAATTCGTAGTCGAGTTTTGTAACAAAAATATGTTGATATATTTCATTTTGTTGTAATTTCTCTATTTCCAACAATAAATATTTTTGTAATTAAAGCTATACATTCCTTCTTGAAGCTCAAAAGTAGCTGTGATTGCTGCACATCCTAGGAAAAAATTGAATCCAAATTGCTCCAAAATTATCGATGAAAATTCTGTGCGATAGATATTTGGATATTCTGCACATTTTCTACGTCTGGCTACATTTATTTTCAAAATAGCAACCGCTTTAGTTAACTACTAATTACGCCTAAGAAAATAATTGTGAAATGGCACGTGTGTATGTGTGTGTGTGTGTGTGTGTGTGTGTGTGTGTGTGTTATGTGTTGAAAG